GCCTTCTCCCTTAGGTTCCATTCAACTGGACCCCTTTCCCCATTCAGATATATACTTCCCCCCTTTGGTACATAGCTCTTACCTCTTGCATCACCGCTTAATCCTATACCCATCCGATCACTGTTCCATCTCGTACATATCGACATCCGCTCCGACTCATATGTTTTTCTGCGCAATCCTACTTGCATGCCGTTCGCTCAGCACATAGCTTTCTGCTATGCATGGCTGAACGCTGGGTTCTTACTTACAGTATATAGCATATCGCGTGCTTGGTCTGTATTTACTTAGGCTTAATATTGCTCGTCTTCTCCCAGTTTCCGCTGCAGAAACTCTCCGTAGGACTTGCTCGACTCCGCACACAAGTTTCATCTTGTCGCCACCTCCCCTCCTCCCCTCCCCTCTGACTTAGAGCTGTGCTCCAAGTATCTACCTCTATCACCCTCCGTCCAATTAACTCTACCTCCGAGCCCTCTGATCCCTTCTGCCTGCCACTTGCTTGCTCCACCTCTTTGCCCCCTTACTGGTGTGCCCACCCCTAGTAACCCTTGAGCTTGCGACCCTCAAAGGGGTCCAAAGGGGTCCACTCCTCCTATATTCAGACAAAATCAGTACCGCTCAAAATTTGAGGCATGTACTTGGCTAAGCGTACAGCGCAAGAGCTGAAGCCAACGCCTGATGCCTCCGCTTGTTTATCCAAGGACGGTTCCCAACAGCACGACATGATGGCGATCCCCCTTTGTCAGTTTGCCGATCTCGTGTCCATCCGGTCGCTCCCATCATCTGATTGTAGGTACGTCATCATAGTTGATGTGTCTGATAAGGGTCCCTAATAATCTAATCCCCGGAGTATGGGGCATACTCCGACCGCAACTGCCATATCAGGAAGTTGCGTCCAGCCGCGACTACCATATTGGGAAGTTGCGGTCGGCCGCAAGTCGGCCACGAGTAAGGAAAGGTCAGCCGCAAGTAAGGATAGGTCAGCCACAAGTAAGCATGTCAGCCGCAAGTAAGCAAAGGTCGGCGGCAAGCAAGCAATAGGAGTGAAAAATAAGCTGTCGACGGCTTATTTCAAAAAAAAAGTGGAAAGCAAAGTTGTAGCCAGTAAAGAACTACATATAAAAATAGTGGTGTGAAAAAACATATGTATATAAAGACACTAGGGCTATACTACGAGCCGCAAGTAAGGTAATGAGTCAGCCGCAAGTAAGCAAAGGTCGGCCGCGACTTATATGGTCATTTCAGAAATACATTTCAAAGTTGTAAAAAAATATCTTCTGGTGGGCTGGTACATATGTTAGAGGGTACTTTCAGGATGGATATGAGCCAACAATCAAAGAAAACGGCGGTTCGGTTATGGAGATATTGCCAAAATACTGACTTTTTAGCCCCACCACCATATGTCACAAACATTGATCTCCAGATGGTCCAGGACCATCACCAATCGATTCCTACACCTGAAAAACCCCAGGACAGTCCTTTACAGTATCGGTTTCAAGTTAAAATCAAGTACAGCAACATATAGGAGGTAGGAGGGAGGAGGAGGACCTTGTATATCTCAGGAATATGATTTTTCCAGGGAAATCTGGCATCACCACCGTGTTCAGAGGGATCAAGAGCCCCCAGGAAAAATGCTTTTGGAGCACTGGCAAGTCATGGGAAGTCTGTAAAAATCGATCTTTGGGTGGGGCAGCATGACAGGGGTGGTCAACTTTGGAACATGATTTTTAGAGCGAAATCTGGCTCGACCATCGTGTTCAGATGGTCAAATAACCTCCAGAATGAATCCTACCTAAAGCCAGGCAAGTCATATGAAGGCTGAAAAAATCGATCTTTGAGTGGGGCAGCATGGCAGTGGTGATCAACTTTGGAACATGATTTTTAGAGCGAAATCTGGCTCAACCATCGTGTTCAGATGGTCAAATAACCTCCAGAATGAATCCTACCTAAAGCCAGGCAAGTCATATGAAGGCTGAAAAAATCGATCTTTGAGTGGGGCAGCATGGCAGTGGTGATCAACTTTGGAACATGATTTTTAGAGCGAAATCTGGCTCGACCATCGTGTTCAGATGGTTCAATAACCTTTAAAATGAATCCTACCTAAAGCCAGGCAAGTCATATGAAGGCTGAAAAAATTGATCTTTGGGTGGGGCAGCATGGCAGGGGTGGTCAACTTTGAAACATGATCTTTTGAGCGAAATCTGGCTCGACCAACGTGTTCATATGGTCAAATAACCTCTAAAATGAATCCTAGCTAAGGCCAGACAAGTCATATGAAGGCTGAAAAAATCGATCTTTGAGTGGGGCAGCATGGCAGTGGTGATCAACTTTGGAACATGATTTTTAGAGCGAAATCTGGCTCAACCATCGTGTTCAGATGGTCCAATAACCTCTAAAATGAATCCTAGCTAAAGCCAGGCAAGTCATATGAAGGCTAAACAAATCGATCTTTAGCAAGGAGAGCATCATAGGGGTGGTACTCAACTTTGGAACATGATCTTTAGAGCGAAATCTGGCATGACCAATGTGTTCATATGGTCAAATAACCTCTAGAATGAATCCTAGCTGAAGCCAGACAAGTCATATGAAGGCTGAAAAAATCGATCTTTGAGTGGGGCACCATGATAGGGCTGGTACTCAACTTTGGAACATGATTTTTAGAGCAAAATCTGGCATGACCATCGTGTTCAGATGGTCCAATAACCTCCATAATGAATCCTAGCTGAAGCCAGGCAAGTCATATGAAGGCTAAACAAATCGATCTTTAACAAGGAGAGCATCATAGGGGTGGTAGTCAACTTTGGAACATGATTTTTAGAGCAAAATCTGCCATGACCAACGCGTTCATATGGTCCAATAACCTCTACCATGAGTCCTAGCTAAAGCCAGGCAAGTCATGTGAAAGCTGAAAAAATCGATCCTTGGGTAGGGCACTATGATAGGGCTGGTACTCAACTCAACTTTGGAATATGATTTTTAGAGACCAAACTGGTATCACCAATCCATTCATATGGTTTAATAATCTCAAGAATGAGTCCCAGTCAATGACAAATTCGTCATATCAAGGGCTGGTAAATCGATCTTTGGATGGGGCACCATGACAGGGGTGGTAGTCAATTCTGGAACATGATCTTCAGAGACCAAACTGGTGCTGTCAATCAATTAATAGTGTTCAATAACCTCGAAAATGAGCCCTAGTTAATGACATGTTTATCATATAAAGGGTTAGTGAATCGATCTTTGAGTAGGGCAGCATGACAAGGGTGGTGGTCAACTCTGGAACATGATTTTTTTGGACAAAATGAGCATTGCCAGTGCATTCAGAGGGCTTCATAATCTTAAGAAAGAGTCCTAGTTAAAGTCAGACAAGATGGATGAAGGCTGAAAAACTCGAGCTTGAAGTGGGGCATCATGACAGGGGTAGTGAAGACAGCACTGGAGATGTTTGAGGTCAATCAGTCTCAAAAAGAGAAGAAAGAGGTGGATGGTCTGCCATATTCTATATTCTTCCCATTATATTGCCTTTGAATCTCATCATAGAATGATTGGAGCCAAATTGCAAGGATTTAGGGTGACATACCCATGACCGTATCTATGACTGTATCTACACCCACATGGTGGCCTGAAGTGCTGCATTTTCTATGGATCTATCCTTTCATTTGTGCTATAGTAGTAGTATATAGGGTGTCAGAGGAAGTTAGGTTAGTTAGGTTAGGTGGTGTCGACACACGAGCGCGAAGCGCGAGTGTGGAGATGTGAAAGCTGTGAGAGGAGACTATTCGGTAGCAAGTTAGCCCTCGCTTTGGTGAGCAGAGGACGCTTTCGATGGTACTGGCCATCTCATCAGGCTGAATAGTGGTTTTTATACCTGTAAGGCTGTAGATGTGAATCTATCAGCTATTTGTTGTTATCGTTGTAATAGAACGATAGCAAACATAGAAGGATAAGGGTTATATCAGTACCCGGATCTAACAATCCAATGGAACGCGTTGGATAAACCGTCGCAGGACTGCAAAGGAATGAAAGGAGTCCCTTAGGGGCCGTCATATGATGCAGAGTGGGTGATAAGATAAGATCACCGGAGGGACGGCACCCGAAGCCGTTACCAGCGCGGAGCGCTGGTACGGCTTCCAGAAGGAGAGGCCGCCGGCTAGTGCATGACATAAGGGAATCAGGGGTTCAAAAATGACCGAAGCTAGAACAAAACTAATAATCTAATCCGAGTAGTATGGGGCATACTACCGGTCGCAACTACCATATCGGGTAGTTGCGACCGTGCGCAACACCCAAAGGGGTAGTTGTGACCGTGCGCAACTCGTGCGCAACCTGGTCGCAACATGTTGCTTATACTGATTGATGATGGAAAGTAGGAGTGAAATAAGCTGTCGACGGCTTATTATTTGAAAGTGGTGATTGCGACCGTGCGCAACTACCATATCAGGAAGTTGCGACCGTGCGCAACTACCATATCAGGAAGTTGCGACCGTGCGCAACCATTAGTAAGCATGCGCAACTACCATATTAGGTAGTTGCATCCATGCGCAACTACCATATTGGGTAGTTGTGACCATGTGCAACATACCCAAGAGGTAAGTTACAACCAGTTGCAATAGCTAGGGCTATACTACCAGCAACAAGTAAGGAAATGAGTTGGCCGCAAGTAGGCAATGGTCAGGCAATAATAGCAGTAGTCAAGAAATAAGCCGTCGACGGCTTATTTTTCAGTTTTGAATTCTGACAGTTTATACCAGTGGTGAAGAAATAAGCCGTCGACGGCTTATTTTCAGTTTTGACAGTCAATACCTTTGTGTCAACTGTAGGACAAGTTATAGACTGGTATAAAAAATAAGGACTCAAGGACAAAGGCTAATACGATAGTGTCAAGTCAATGGTGTCAAGTCAAGAGACTCTGATAATGTAATCAATACATGTAAAGTAGGAGTGAAAATAGGCTGTCGACGGCTTATTATTTGAAAAGTGGTGATTGTGACTGTGGGCAACCTATGACTAAGGGGGCGCAACTACCTTATTGGGAAGTTGCGACCGTGCGCAACCTATTAGTAAGCATGCGCAACTACCATATTAGGTAGTTGCGACCGTGCGCAACATACCCAAGAGGTAAATTACAACCAGTTGCAATAGCTAGGGCTATACTACTAGCCACAAGTAAGGAAATGAGTTGGCCGCAACAAAGCAAAGGTCAGGTGGTAATAGCAGTAGTCAAGAAATAAGCCGTCGACGGCTTATTTTTGAGTGTATGATTGTGACAGTTTATAGGAGTGGTGAAGAAATAAGCTGTCGACGGCTTATTTTGACAGTTTATAGGAGTGGTGAAGAAATAGGGGTCGACAGGTTATTGTAAGCTGATAGTCTTAAGTCAACTGAAGAGACTATGGTAGAGCGTGGGAATATTTTCGATGAAAAGGAAAGTTGTAGCTAATGTGTAGGGGAGTGTAAGGGTAGTCTGACGAGATGAATAGGTGAAGATACTAGTGAGTTATAAGGAAAATAATGGAAAATGAAGGGTTGAAGAAAGCAAGTGAAGGGTGGGAATATTTTGGATGAAAAGGAAAGTTGTAGCAGTCGTGTAGTGGAGTCTAACCATAGTCTGACGAGATGAATAGGATAAGACAGTAGGGAGTTATAAGGATAAGATTGAAAAATGAAGAGTTGAAGAAAGCAAGTGAAGGGTGGGAATATTTTCGATAAAAAGCAAAGTTGTAGCAGTTGTGAAGGGGAGTGTAAGGATAGGGATAGATAAGGACAGGATAAGAAATGGAAGTGTAGTAAAAATAAGGATAAGAGGGCAAGGATAAATAGGAATAGGAAGGATAGGAAGGGTAAGTGCAATAGGAACAAGAATAGCAATAAGGATGAGGAAGATAAGGATAAGAGGGATAAGGATAAGAATAAGTGTAATAGGAAGTGGAAGGGTAGGAATAGTAAGAGGGACGAGGATAAGAGGGACAGGAAGTGTAAGGATAAGGATAAGGATAGGAATAGTAAAGGGGATAAGGATAAGAAGGATAAGGAGTACAAGGGTAGGAACAGTAAGAGGGACGAGGTCAAGTGTAATAGGAAGTATAAGGATAGGAATAAGGAGAGGGATAAGGATAAGAGTGATAAGGAGAAGGATAAGGAGTATAAGGATAGGAATAGTAAGAGGGATAAGGATAAGAGTGATAAGGTTAAGAGTGATAAGAATAAGTGTAATAGGAAGTATAAGGGTAGGAATAGTAAGAGTGACAAGGATAAGGATAAGAGGGATAGGAAGTATAAGTATAAGCGTAGGTATAAGTGTAGGAATAGTAAAAGGGATAAGGAGAGGGATAAGGAGTATAAGGACAATAAGGATAGGAATTATATAGGATTTTCGTATATAGGTTTGGGTACAGTTAGGGTTTTGTTGACCCCCAAGGGTCCCAAAACATAAATGACTCGGACATCAAATAGATTTTTGCAATGTATAATGAATAAAAATGCAATATATCACTGATAAAAAATCAGGATTACAGTGTAATAATTGTACTAATTATCATCAGTGGTATGAGTTGTACATCCTCCTATGTGAATCACAGATGCAACCGTTGTGACGGCGGAAAAATCAGGCTTACAGTGTAATAATTGTACTAATTATCATCAGTGGTATGAGTTGTACATCCTCCTATGTGAATCCCCGATGCAACCGTTGCGACGGCGGAAAAATGAGGACCACAATATAGTAATTGTAACAATTGATCTTACTTGGAGAGCCGCGGATAGCCCCGTTCCATCGGCGGCCTAGGGGATATGAGATGCAGAGCCGCGGATAGCCCCGTTCCATCGGCGGCCCATGGTGTATGACTACAACGAAATAATCGATCTGACTCGCAGGAGCCGCGGATAGCCCCGTTCCATCGGCGGCCCGTGGGGTATGAGGCCAAAGAAATAAAGTGATCATATTTGCAGAGCCGCGGATAGCCCCGTTCCATCGGCGGCCCGTGGGGTATGACTACAACGAAATAAAGTGATCATACTTGCAGAGCCGCGGATAGCCCCGTTCCATCGGCGGCCCATGATGTATGACTACAAGGAAATAATTGACATTATGAGTTGTACATCCTCCTATGTGAATCCCCGATGCAACCGTTGCGACGGCGGAAAAATGAGGACTACAATGTAATAATTGTAATAATCGATCTGACTTGTAGAGCCGCGGATAGCCCCGTTCCATCGGCGGCCTAGGGGATATGAGATGCAGAGCCGCGGATAGCCCCGTTCCATCGGCGGCCTAGGGGATATGAGATGCAGAGCCGCGGATAGCCCCGTTCCATCGGCGGCCCATGTGGTATGACTACAACGAAATAATCGATCCGACTCGCAGGAGCCGCGGATAGCCCCGTTCCATCGGCGGCCCATGTGGTATGAGGCCAAAGAAATAAAGTGATCATATTTGCAGAGCCGCGGATAGCCCCGTTCCATCGGCGGCCTAGGGGATATGAGATGCAGAGCCGCGGATAGCCCCGTTCCATCGGCGGCCCATGGGGATATGAGATGCAGAGCCGCGGATAGCCCCGTTCCATTGGCGGCCCATGGGGTATGACTACAACGAAATAAAGTGATCATATTTGCAGAGCCGCGGATAGCCCCGTTCCATCGGCGGCCCATGGTGTATGACTACAATGAAATGATTGATCTGACTTGGAGAGCCGCGGATAGCCCCGTTCCATTGGCGGCCCATGATGTATGACTACAATAAAATAATCGATCTGACTTGTAGCCAATGCAACCGTTGCGACTGCGGAAAAATCAGGACCACAATGTAATAATTGTGACAATTGATCTGACTTGTAGAGCCGCGGATGCAACGAGTCCAACGGCGGCCCATAGTGTATGGCTACAATAAAATAATCGATCTGACTTGTAGCCAATGCAACCGTTGCGATGGCGGAAAAATCATGACCACAATGTCATAAGTGACATGACTTGTACAGCCGTGGATAGAACCATTGCATCAGTGGAATATCGTATATCAGACTAGCGACATAATTATATAACATAGATTCTGCATACATGCGCTCCCTGTAGTTAGTTGTGAGTATATCAGAGTAAAGGTATAAAAATGCAATATATAAGTGATGATATTCCTCCGATAGAACCGTTGCGACGGCGGAAAAATGAAGCCTACAATGGTATACAACAGTTATAATAATTGTACATCCACCATTGGAATACGAACGATCACGTGACAATGTCACGTGACCCTCGTGGACAAGAAGTGTTAAATATCGAGAAGGGAAGGCGAGGCCTGCAAGGGGCAAAGGGTTAATAAATATAAAGGGCATATAAGATAGATAGCGATAAAGTTTCATCGTTGTACACTCACCATCGCATTCGATACATCGTGTCCATCGAAATGGCTACGAAAAGACAGCAGAAAGGCAAAGGAAAGACCACAGGAACGACTGCAGTGAGTTTTAAATCTGAAAGAAATAGAAAGTAAAGGCTGACGGTTGAAATGCTAATGCCTCTAAGATCAGAGGAGGATCGGATCTGCACCTGGACACGAGACCGGTGGAAGCGTTAGCTCCCAAGCATGATATC